TTTTGCCGAATAATACTTCAGCGCTGAGTTTTACGTAAATACGTTGATGCCGGAAATGAAATCCTCAAGTCCCTGAGTATATAATTATGCTAGAGAAGGTGATTAGTCCCTACAAGTGTTCAAAATACACAACAACAGAAATCTCGACACAAAATACTTTTATTCAATTCTCAATATCTTCGGACTGAATGATGCAATTAGGACGAGTCGAATTTCGTTTTAAAGCCCGAGAAGAAACCTTGAAAATAAAAAAAAATGATTGAATTCCGCTCTGTCAATTCCAAGATATTCCATTTTGAAAATGATCCAATCGAAAATATAATTTTATTTTGATGAATTATTCTCTAATAAAATTCTCCTCTTTTCCATAATTTTTTCTCCTCAAATTTTCACGCAATTGGAAACAGGTGGAAATTGTCAGCAAGTTACATATTCGTTCCATAATAAAATTGAACAATAAATTCAAATGGCCAGATGGGACTTTGGAAAATCAGACAGAGCGTTATACCGAAACGCGCAAATTGATTTGCGAATAATGCACTAGTGAATAATGAGGAGCGGCCTGCCTCCATTGCCAACATCCGTTCCCCCCTTTCACCTTTCCTCCTATTTTCTACCCGCAACATCCAGCGATTCTCGTGGCCGGGCGTTTCGATTACATTATCCCCGGCGAATTACATTCGCTTATAACGAGATAACGTCAAAGTTGCTGGGGCTGCCGGAGGCTTCATTAAAATTAAACGACAAAACGCGATTAAAGGGTCTTCATGGGGTTCGCGGAGGGGGGAGGGGAGGTGAAACTGGACGCGAATGATCATAAATCATTATTATATTTACATAACTGTGGAAAGATGGGTTTTGATAATTTTAAATAAACATTGAATGCTCTTTAACGGTTACTATCGTGGCTTCATGGGTTGCATAATGAAATTTGAATGAAATTTCTGTCTATAAATTTTCATTGTTGTATTAAAGTCATCCTTACTAATTTTCAGAAGAATATTTCGAACAAATGGGAAAATATTGCTCAGTACGAGATAATCCCTTTATCATCCATTGAATAAGAAAACAAATTCTATACGTTCTAAGACGAACGTATATTTCTGCAAAAAGAATCGAATACAATAAAAATAGAAAAGTAAAATAAAATTTCTCTGAATCGATTTTCTCATACAGACAGACAATAGAGAAAAATTGAATGACAAAACGCAATTAAAAAGGATTCATGGGTTTATTTAGAGAGGGGAAGGGATACAACTGGACGCCAATGATCATAAATCATTATTATATTTACATAACTGTGGAAAGATGGGTTTTGATAATTTTAAATAAACATTGAATGCTCTTTAACGGTTACTATCGTGGCTTCATGGGTTGCGTAATGAAATTTGAATGAAATTTCTGTCTATAAATTTTTACTGTTGTATTAAAGTCATCCACTAATTTAGAGAAGAATATTTCGAACAAATGGGAAAATATTGCTCAATGCGAGATAATCCCTTTATTATCCATTGAATAAGAACAAAAATTCTGTACGTTCTAAGACAAACGTATATTTCTGCAAAAAGAATCGAATAGAATAAAAATAGAGAAAAATTAAATGGCAAAACGCGATTAAATAAATCATTATTATATTTACATAATTGTGGAAAGATAGGTTTTGATAATTTTAAATAAACATTGAATGCTTTTTAACGGTTATTATTGTGGCTTCATGTTTGCGTAATGAAATTTGAATGAAATTTCCGTGTATAAATTTTCATGATAGTGTATTAAACTCATCATTACTAATTTGAAGCAGAATCTTGCGAGAAAACGTGCGAACAACTGTGAAAATATTCCTCAATACGAGATGATCTTCATCACCAATTGAATAAGAAAAAGAATCTCATTTTTATCATCCCTCAACAATGCCACAAAGACGAATGTATATTTCTGCAAAAAGAATGGAATAGAATAAAAACAGCCAAGTGAAATAAAATTTCTCTGAATGGATTTTCTCATACAGACAGACAATATTGGTGAAACGGGTAGGATTTACCGCTGGCAACGTTCTAAAAGTGCGTCTATTCCCTTCGATTTGTAAAAAAGGATCGGTATTCCGGTGGAAAAACCCCTCCGACAGTGAAAAGAAACCCTTGGGGAAACAATAAATTGTCCCGTTCGATCCTTTATACCAAAGGCATGTGTTTGATTCGACAAAAGTCCGTATACATAAGCAGCAATAACATGAATACATAGGTATTCTTGCGGCAGATACCTCCTAACATTTTTTTTCTTCTCCTCTCTTTTACGACAAAACAATGAAACGTATCACCAATATTCTCGCAATTTCGCGACCACTCTATCCCCATATCGAAATGGAGAAAGAGCTCTCTAGGCGTATACTGCATCCAAAAGGTTTACCCTCGCTCTGCGGCACAACGAAATTGACTCGTTCCAGAGGATTAACCCTGTATGCTTGTGCCATACAGTGTCTATATACAAAATCCTCTTCCCCTCCCCACTCGGTTGCTCTCCTCTTGAGGCACACAGAGACAGCCTGTATGGTTTATTATTATTGTTGGCAATTCGTACGTGCTCCATTTTTCTGTCATAATCAGCCCAGGGCGGGGATTGTGATGTAATACGAGGGATATAGAAATAATAAAAATATGTCGGGCTTAGGGAGGTGGAGAGGTAGCAGTTGACATAGTTTATTCAGTCTTTATTATTATGAGAGTGAGAGGGGCTTGGCCCCCTGCCCTGCAGGCTTTTTAAATCCCTCGTGAGTAGAATGCGAGTGTTCATTATATTTTTAAGTATTATGAACTTTACGTAATTCGCTAAAACCTTGTTGTGACCTTCATGGCCTCCATATGACCCACGTGACCGTTATCTTCAGTCATCACATAAAAAAACTCTCACCTGAACGCCTATTTTTTAAAATTACAGGTAGAAATATATAAAAGATCTCTGTGTGCCATTTTTCCGCCATAATCCGCCCAGCCCACCTTTGTGATATGAACTTTATGTAATTCCATAAAAGCTTATTATGACCTTCATTTGAATTCCATGACATTCATATGACCTCCGTATGACCCACATGACCCTTATCCCAAGGCATCACATAAAATTATCGACAGAATTATATAAAGAATTATAAAGGGTCACGAGGGTGGGGGTTGTGATGTAATACAAGGGATAAAGAAATAATAAAAATATGTCGGGTTTATGGAGGTGGAGAGGTAGCAGTTGACATGGTTTATTCAGCCTTTATTATGAGAGTGAGGGGGGCTTGGCCCCCTGCCCCGCAGGCTTTTTAAACCCGTCGTGAATAGAATGCGAGTATTCATTATATTTTTGAGTAATATCAACTTTATGTAATTCCGTAAAACCTTATTATGACCTTCATGACCATACACCAAATAAAATGACCTAAATGAAATGATATATATGACCTTCGTATCACCCACAGAACCTTTATCCCCAGACATTATATAAAAAAACTCTCACCTGAACGCCTATTTTTTAAAATTACTGACAGAATTATATAGAAGATTTCTGTGTGCCATTTTCCACGGTTGACACGGTTTATTCAGTCTTTATTATTATGAGAGTGAGAGGGGCTTGGCCGCCCTGCCCCCACAGGCTTATTAAATCCCTCGAGAGTAGAATGCGAGTGTTCATTATATTTTTAAGTGATATGAACTTTATGTCATTCGATAAAACCTTCTTAAAACCTTCATTTGAACTTCTTGACCTCCAGATCACCTTCATTTGAAATTTCAAGTAATTTCATCATTAAAAATTAAAGATTTTATAGAAAAATCAATAAAAACGAAATTTTTGTTCAATTATTCCATAAAAATTAATAGAACTTTCCTACTGCTAAAAAAAATTGAAATTTCATTACTTTTTTGGAATTCCCTGAATTCCCTGTCGCTATCCTGAAAATTACCAGCCAACTGTCCATGGAATTTCCATTTCTTCTCTAACAGACGATATAGGCAAAATTATAGAGAGAGAACACCATCAATTTTAAATTCTCGACAAGAGAATACAAGAATTCTATGAAATTTTTTTCAAGTAACTCAAAGCCTCGACATTTTTGCATCAAAAGTTTGCACCCAAGTTTAATGAACTTCAATGTATATCAATGCTCCCTGAGGCCATACGTTTGATATATGTGTATTTAGTTGGGTGCCCCTCAAGTACCGGTGATCAAAGCATCAACCTAAAATATAACGCTCAGGGTTAACTCGGTTAAAGTGCTGGTAATGAGATACATCGGGCGATTGAAAGTTCAAACTTTGTGGAATGATTATTTCGGATCGATATTCGGGGTCTCCACATCCAACCAATTCTCCAACACATGTTTTAATATCTTTAACTATTTATTTGCAACTCATCAGTCATCTCACAAATCCATTGACAATTAGCTGTTGAATTCAATTGACAAACGGAAAAAATCGAAATGAGGAATGAGTAATTGATAATGATCATGTTCATTTCGTCTGCTGCATTGAATTATCGACGATGTTGAAAAATTTAGTGTGAAATTTCTACTGAAAATGAAACATTCGTTCAATCACTTGAGAAAAAAATTCAGTGATCGTCTGCAAATTCTCAGTGAACGAACGAGGTCGTTGAATCGATAATTCAAGATGCCATTAGCGAATGCAAGACTTGAACCTTTATGCACCCCCTGCAGAGACAACTCATCGTTTCATTTGCACGCCATGCCTCGTTATACCATCCACTCAAAAATTCTCCAAAGCTGTGGGGAAGAGTCCAATCGAAAAATATGATTTTTGCAGTTATATTCAGGTTCTACAATCATTAAATCTTATGTACGAGTGTTTCATCGAGTCTGCCAAGTCTCTCGAGGATCTGTTACAATTTTAATGATTACAATTAATTATTGAGACCCGACTATTCCCCATTTCTACGTATTTTCGGTCGAGTGGAGGAGAAAAATGTTTCCCTCGTTCGTGAGATAAAATAACTGAGCACAAAAATTGAATAAACAAACACAACGTTTTATTGGAAATTAAATAAATTATATTTGATGATGATGAATGCTTAGGGGCTAGGTCTGGAGTGATCACATTGCATCTAGGCTTCGTCCTCGTTCAGCAACATATTTGGAATGCCATCGTTGATGGGAAATTTTCGTCCTGATTCAGGACAAAGTAAATCTCCATTTATAACTTCAACCTCGAGTAAAACGTGGTGTACCTTCTTCAGAAAATCTTCATTCCCCTCGAAATCTTGCACGAGGGTCTGGGGTAATTCACCGACGTGCCCTATCTGTTGCATATTTACAAGATTTTAGTGAATATTCAGGGATATTTGAAAGGTCGCTTACTTACACTTTCGGCTGCTTTCCATAGTGTATTCCAATCCAGTTTTGGAATTATCCTCGCTATGAATTCGGAATTGAAATCTACTTCGGATACTTTTATGTCTTTTGCCTGGGGGAAGAGAAATAAGATGGTAATTTTTTCGTTTGTAGTCAAAACACAATTTTGGGATTTTCTCATGAGTTGAAGTTGCTTAAATCAATAAGTTTATGATGAACTGTATTCATTTGAAAATACAACATCTCAAAACATTGGGAATTGGGCAATTCAAGGAATTATGGGTCTCATCACCCATTCGGCTGACGCCAAAAAATTATTTGATAAACATTTGACGAATTAATATCATGGGATAGTGGAAAAAAATGGAAAAGAATAACAATACTCAATTTATTGTCAATTCGCGACATTTCGCTTTTAATAAAAACGGAGCTCTAAAAATAAAGCACGTGTAAAATTAGAATCGAAATTCGAAATAAAAATAAAACTTATAAAAACAACAACATGAAACATCACATTAATATTAACATTTTATAACATTTAGGCCCGGTTGCACCATCGTCTGTTAACTAAACCGCCAAATGACGGTCTGTTAGTCCATAAGGATTACACATGGATAAATTTATCCTGGGGTAAAAATAGCTAACAGGGCTCGGTGCAACCGGGCCTGAATAGTTTTAAGAATAAAACTATTTGAGGATAAAACCTTGTCTTTACGAGGACATATTCCACAACGTGAAGCTGAATGCCATTGTTATTCCTCCAAAAACAAATATAAATCTAGTTAAATTTTTCACAAAAAGTTTTACAATAAAAAATGTATCTCTTCCAGATGAAATCTTTGCATTGTAAAGAAAATATCAACTTTACGAGGGCAATTTTTTCGCTTGCATTTAAAACAGTAATTTTGGGATTTTTTCATGAGTCGAAGTTGCTTAAATTAATGCATTCATGATAAATTATTTCATTTGAAAATACAACATCTCCAAACATGAGTAATTAGACGATTCTATGAATTATGGGTTTCATCACTTGGAAAATATGCATTCTACAGATAATTTCTAAATATGCATTTTACAGATAATCATGGGAAATGAATAACAATACTAAATTAAATGTCAATTCGCGATATTTCGCTTTAAAAAAAAAATTTCTGAGGCTCTAGAAATAAAACACGTACAAAAGTAGAATCGAAACTCGCAATAAAAATAACATTCTGGGATAAAACTTTGTTTTTATAAGAATATTTTCCATAAAGTGAAGCTGAATGTCATTGTTATTCCCCCAAAAACAAATTTCAATCTCTTTAAATCATCCACACCAATTTTTAAAATAAAAAAACAATTAAAATGAAATATCAATTTTCTTGAAGAATCGAATCCATTTCCCCCTCCGCAAATATTCACTCCAAAACCTTCAAGACTGGGAAATTATCGCCATGAGAATTGCTAAGTCTAGAGCACGTGCTTTCGTCCCTCTCAAAAATTCAATAATATAACCTAAAACCCTTCGTCCCCAAAAATCAATGAAAAAAAATGTCATACCACAATGCCAAGGGGATACCCCACAGTCACCCCTTTGAGGCACTTCGACGTCAGCATATTATGCGTCAACAGCTTCATAATTCCCCCTCAACACTATTATTCACTAATTTTGTTATTTTATCGCACTCTTCCCACAATTTTCCGAAACAAATTTCCGCACTCTGAAGTCTGCCGCAGTCTGCGTTCCTCCCATTCCCTCTTCTCGCTCCGATTCCTCTGTTCTTCGTGTTCGTGAAATTGAGGTTATGTTCGCCCCTTGAAGTTTCTTAGAAGTGCCACGAACCCAACACAACGTAGAGATATAAAAATCCACTTGCTCCCGTTGTCCCGTTCCAAAGAAGCTCTTCCCCCCCGAAAACAGGTTAGTTTATCAGGGAAATTATCTGCAAATCCGTGAATTTCGTCATCTCTTCCCAACAATAAGAGTAAAATTGAAATTTTCGGTTATAAACAGCTCTCGGGGTGCGACAATACCAAGTGCTGAGTGAATTCTTGTGTTGAGTGTCTCAATTGGTGGTAATAGAGCCTGTAAATATGATACACTTGCGACGAGTCAATTGACAGGAGCCACATCATCTGTCCTTGATAAGAAGAAAACATGTAATCAGCTGTAACTGACCGATGTTTATACTGCATGTAAGCATATGCTCGATAATTATTTTGTTTTAATAATTAATATAGCACATTTGTAGGGACATAAATATTGGAGGGGGTGATGAGGCCGCCTGAAGGTGATAAATATCATGTGTCACTCTTCTGGAATTTATAAACGGACAATTTTTTTTTATTGTCACGTCCTGAGTTCTACGAATAAATATAAAACACGTATTTATCAGGAAAATCATAATTTCGGAGCATAAAATGTTGGGGGAATGATATTGAAATTATTTATTGAAATAGTCAGTAGTTATCGTTGTTTTCGGGTCATTAAATGTGACGTACATGAAGAGAACATCACTCGAATTAATTTTCCTGTTCAATTAACGTATAATTAACCGCTCAATTGATCAATATCTCCTGGAAAAATGATACGATTTGGATGAAACAAAAATCATTTTAAAGGTCGAAAAAATACCTTCAAAGTGAAAAAAAGAATGGGAAATTTCACTCTGCCAATCAGGAGTTGTTGAATATTGAAAATCAATTTTTTTTGTTTTCATTTCGTTGAAGTAAAGGAATAAATTGAAAAATATCATTGAACTACTGGAGGAGGGGATGAGTTCCCCTGGAGGTGATAACGATCATGTGTCATACTTCTGGAATTTATAAACGGAAATATTTTTTGTCACGTCCTGACTTCTACGAATAAATGTAAGACACGTATTTATCAGGAAAATGGTTATTTCGAAATACAAAAAATCGGGGGAGTTATGTTAAAATGATTAATCGAAGTAGTCATTAGTTATCATCGTTTTTAAGCCATTAAAGGGGATGAATACAGTAGTGTTTCGATAGTTTCAATGAAAAAAATTTTCGAATAAATTTTCATTTATCATTGAGGTACCCAATATCTCCAGAACAAATCATACGATTTGGATAAAACAAAAATTATTTTAAAGCTCGAAAAAATACCTTCAAAATGAAAAAAAGAATGGGGAATTTCACTCTGCCAATCAGGAGTTATTGAAGATTAAAACTCATCCATTTACCCTTTCCTCAGTAAAAAAAAAATTATATCGTTGAAGTAAAATAATAAATTTAAATTAAATATTCCTGAACTCTTTACAATGATATAATGAAATTCTATTCATGCAGAAGGAGAATATAATCCGAGCGACGACGTGATAAATAATGCTGAAGACTGGAGGAATAAAGTCTTGACAAACACTGAAAAGGCAAATTGGCGTATAAAATGGCGAGGGAATTATTTCTGCTGGGTGTCCTTGTGGTTGGACATGTAGCTAGATGTTCACTGGGGTCAGCAAGCGAGGACCATGTGGAATACATGAGCAGAGAGGAGCGGGAATCCCTCAAGGAAGAGACTCGTGACATGTTTTATCATGCTTACAACGCTTACATGGATAATGCCTATCCAGCTGATGAACTCATGCCACTGAGCTGCAAGGGAAGGTACAGGGGATCTGAACCTGACAGGGGGGACATCGACTCCACTCTTGGAAAGTTAGTATCAACAATTTCCTGGGTTGATTAATTAATCAATCGAAATTAGATTCGTTACTCAAAATTTTACGATCGATTTTAACGGTTTTTCTGGGGTTTTCAGCTTCTCGTTGACTCTGGTGGACACTCTGGATACTCTCGTGGTTCTGGGGGACTTGGGGGAGTTCGAAAATGCTGTGAAATTAGTTATTAAGGATGTCAATTTTGATACTGACGTAATTGTTTCGTTATTCGAAACTAATATACGTATGTTAGGGTGAGTTTTTGGATTTTATTCATTCAGTTATTTTATTTATCCATTAATTTTTGAAAATTTTGTATTTTTAAACAGAATTTCGTGAATTCAAATAATTTTTTACTGTAATTTTTATTCCTTTTAAGAACTTATGTGAAATTGTTAATTTACTTCAATTTTATTCATTTCATCATTTAATTCACTAATTTTTGCCAATTTTGTATTTTTAAAAGGAATTTCTTTTGTTCAGACAACTTTTATTTCCATTTTTTGTTCTTCTTAAATCCCTATGGATGAATTCACGATAATAGGGGTTTGCTGAGTGCTCACATACTCGCTGAATACCTTCAGACACGAGCAGACATAATGCCCTGGTACAGAGGTGAATTGTTGAGCATGGCAAAGGACTTGGGCTACAAATTTTTGCCAGCATTCAACACAACCACTGGCATACCCTACGGTAGAATCAACCTGAAGCATGGAATGAAGGGGGTGCCAGCTGAGATGTGTCGTGAGACCTGTACTGCGTGTGCTGGCTCAATGATTCTCGAGATGGCGGCTTTGTCTAGATTAACTGGTGAATATATTTTCGAGGAGAAAGCACAAAAAGCCATGGATGCACTATGGCGAATGCGGCACAGAGGCACTGACCTCATGGGATCTGTTCTCAATGTTCATTCGGGGGATTGGGTCAGGAGGGACTCAGGGGTTGGGGCTGGAATTGATTCTTATTACGAGTACTGCCTCAAAGCGTATATTTTATTAGGTAATTTAATTCATTTTTTCTTATTTTATTCTCATTTTTGAGACACCCGAATTTTTGAGTTTAGAAATGTACGAATATCTTTGAATCTATGAGAGATATCGAAATTTTCAAGGAACCCTTTTTTGTAGAGGAGAACGAGACCTACAAAAAAGGTTTTCAGAGTATTTGTGATATGTCCCTTAGATTACGAGATATTTTGGAAAACTGAACTATAAACAAAGTCGATTTCACTTGGCAACTCAATTGTTATAAAATGCGTTTGTAATCTTTTTATTAATTTCCGTAGGAGATGAAAAGTACCTAGGGCGATTCAATCGTCATTACCAAGCTATCATGAAGTACGTCAGCCAGGGTCCGATGCTCTTGGACGTCCACATGCACCGCCCCAACACCAATTCCAAGAACTTCATGGACGCTCTTCTGGCCTTCTGGCCAGGCCTGCAGGTACACAATCATTCCACAAGTCCTAAAATTTTTAAGAGTTCACTAATTAAAATTCTTTAACGAACTAAAGACTTTTTAAATCAACAAAAATGTTGAATAAAGCTCTTGGATTTCATGAATTAAAATTTTATAGATCCACAAGTACAAAAATTTAATAACTCCACTGATTAAAAATTCTCAACAAATTAAAGGTTTTCGAATTCCCGAAAAAGTCAAATACACTGTTTACCATTTTTTTTACTAGTGTAATTAATTCTTCGTTAATGAATTCCCCCAATAAAAGAACTTAATTCCCTGGAATACATCCAGGTGCTCAAAGGTGACATAAAGCCGGCAGTAGAGACCCACGAGATGCTCTACCAAGTGATGCAGCGTCATAACTTCATCCCCGAGGCCTTCACCACCGACTTCCAGGTGCACTGGGGCCACCACCCCCTCCGTCCCGAGTTCCTCGAGTCCACGTACTTCCTGTACCGAGCGACTGGTGATCACTACTACCTTGGAGTGGGTCGTAAAGTCCTCAGAAGCCTTCAAACCTACGCCAGAGTGCCTTGTGGTTATGCAGCAGTGTCAGACGTTCGAACCAACAAGCACGACGACACAATGGACTCCTTCGTCCTCTCAGAGACCTTCAAATACCTCTTTCTACTCTTCACTGAGACCAACGACCTCGTTCTGGACCTCGACGAGTTTATATTCACGACTGAGGGCCACCTGTTGCCCCTGACTCTGGCATCAGTGCGACCAAATGTCTCTTCGGAGCTGGATATCGACGCTGTCCAGGTCCAGGAGTTGGACAGAACCTGTCCCAACAGTCTTCACCTGTTTCCAGCATCGGTGAGACAGCCCCTCAGAAACATGGTTGAGGACGTCTGCCCCAGGAGAATAATCAAGAGACGACTGAGTGCCTCGCAGTTCCAGGCGAATAACCTGGAGCACCTGAAGATCCTCAGCCACATGGGAATCACGATACTGACGTCTGCTGATGGCAGGATCCAGCTGCTTCACACATTCTCCAATGCCAGGACTGTTCAGGACGCTGAGGAGGGGCTTATGTTCATGCAGGAGATGGTGGAGTTGAATAGGAGACAGACGCAGGACGAGGGGATCAGACCTCAGACTGTTACTTTAGTCAGGAGTGGTGGCAAGGAGATGAGTTTCCTGGGGGGTCCAGCGCAGTTTGGACCCAAGCTCAGGGGGGAGAAGAGGGTTGTGGGGAAGCCTGTGCTGGTTGAACCTTCTAAAGCCTGCGAGGAGATCACCAATGCCAAGATGATCGAGGGTAATATTGCTCTGGTCTCCAGGGGCAACTGCATGTTCGTGGAGAAGGCCAGGATTGTGCAGAAGGCTGGGGCCATTGCTGGAATTGTTCTCGATAATGGCATGGGCTCCAGTGCTGGGGGATCACACATGTTCTCCATGTCGGGGGATGAAAGTGTGGAGGATGATGTTAAGATTCCGTTTGTTTTCTTGTTTTATGCTGAGGCTAGTGAACTTGTCAAGGCTGTCATTGGGAGCGAGGGCGAGCTAACTGTTACGATAGGTAATTTTTTTATATTTTTCATTCATTTGTATTATTTTTCTATTGATGAATTAAATTTAAATTTCTTACTTTTTTTTTATACATTTGATTTGTTTGATTCTTTCAACAAGTTGAAGCTTTTTTAATCCACCAAAATGTTGAATAAGACTTGGTCTTGATGAATGAATTCTCAATGAACAAATTCTCCAATAAAATTTAAATTTCATAAATATTTAACAACTAGAAGAATTTAAAAAATTCTTCTTCATTTTAATGATTTACTTTTTTTCTAGGTGACTACACAGGTGATGAAAATCAATTAAAATCCCCAGTGGACGATCAATCAATGTTCGAGAGACTAAAAACTTCAGTGAAAGAATTCTTATCTCGACCAGTGTCCACACAGGTTTGTTTCATTTGTGGTTTACTATGCATCATCCACAAGTATTACCTTGGACGAAATTCCCACTAGGTAGATGACAAATTCAGAGATGGATAATGCACAATTTTCATACTCTATTTAATTTATTGAAATTGTTATGCTGTACGTTTTTGTTTATAAGTTACTCAACGTGATTTACTTTTTTTCTAATTATAGTTTTTTATGACTGATATTTAAGTCCAGTGTTTTATTTATCCATTCACTTGTAAATATAGATAACAAAATTGTTCTTCAATCGTCAAGACAGGAATTCAATTAATGAAAAATTTGAGAATTTATTTACCTGAATAATTAAATTGAAATTTACAGTTTCCATTGATTTTTTTATGAAATTTTGAATTTCGAGTGACGGAATTCCTTACAATTCCAGTGGAACTATGATGACAATTTTTTTAATAAAAAATTGTTGATCATGAGATATTGACGATTGAATAAAGCCTACTTTGCTTCCATCCCTCACCCACTTAATTAATCCCCTCAATTTTCATTAATCCAGAGCGCAGGGGTCATATCCACTCCATCCACCCCTCAACAGACCTCCGAGGACGAGCTCCTAGTCTTCGAGAAGGGTCACATGAGGGCCTCAATCCTGAAAGCAACCGAGAATCAGCAGCTGGTGAATCCCAACCCTCTGGTTAGATTATCAACAAAGTCGAGTACTCCACCTCTAGTCGTCCCAGTGGAGGAGGACATGTCCCTCTTCAAGAGGGTGTGGCGAGAAGTCAAGCAGATTCTGGTGAACCAGATCCATGCGAGCACCAAGACACCCCCCAACGAGGTAATTCCCCTCAGTCAGATAAAAGTCTACTATGACTGGCTGGCGAAGGAACGAAAGAACGAGGAGACAGCAGCCAGTGAGAATCTCTCAGCCTGGATGATTGTCAACTGGTTTGTCACTGAACTCAGTGATACTGTCCCCAATCTCGACATTCTAGACTCGAGTGGAATGCCTCCAACGTCGAAATCACTGGCTATGAGGCTGACGTCACTTCTGCTGAGGGCAAATCAAAATTCACAGGAGATGAAAGCACTCATTGAAATGGTGGACTCATTCAAGGTCTATGGGAATCTGCTGGAGAACATTAAGGAGGTTCTGGAGAACCTGAAGGGAGAGTTGAAGAAGGCCGCGATGAAGGATGAGGATGGGAAGGACGGAGATAAATTCATTCCTGTGGGCGGAGGGAGTGAAGATGATGGGATCGTCGAGACGGTTGAGGTTGAGGGGAAAGGGGCGAGTCCTGGTGATGATGTTCAGGGGGAAAAACACGTTAAGGAGCAGCTTTAATGCCTGGGGGGACTTAGGGATTCAACATTTTTGTGAGGTATTTTGTGGAAGAGAGAGAAGATGATTAATAATTATTATGTATGAATTATGATTTGATGATAAATTCTAATTTTTTCGATTATGCATTCTGTTTCTTCTTTGCTACTTTGCTGATTTGTAGATAGGGAAATTGTGGAATTGTACAGAGAGAATTTGAATTCAATCAGTGTAAATAACAATTTTTATTGAAGATATGAAACTGATAAATCATTGCCATTAAACTACGACTGTCGACGTAATTATAGCTCGTATATTTTTTTATTTGCAGAGAAAATGGTCTGTAAATAATTGCGAATAATTATCTTGTCTACCATGGGGTGATTAAGTGACATGAAGAGATATTCAATTTTTAATTGAAACTGTTTATCTCTTTATTGCAGGTAATCGCGATATTCACGTGTACAAAATGAATAGCAATTTAGGACAATTGTCGCAGATCGAGTGTATGTCAAATGTACAATGGTCAGTTCTCGGTTTTGGATGCATACACGATTTATTGTTAGAGTAATTTCGATGTATATATCCGTTAATGTTTATGTAATATGCATTTACTTCAGATGCACACCTTGTGATTGTAATATAAATAGAGTGTATTATAACAGAGGTATTGAAAATTTACATATGAAAGTGTTGAGTGTGATTTTTGGTATGGGGTAATGAATTGTCTGATGATCCGGAAATAAAGTTTCTGTTAAAAAATATTCATATTTTCATTTTTTAAATTATTTTGGACTGAACATTAATGTGGCACATTAATTATGGGTCTCACAATAAATCATTATTATTATTATTGTTCACATGAGAAAATTTTTTTATTTTGAAATGAAACAATCAGGAAAGTTTTTAAAATAATTTTTATTCATCAATTATTCTTCATCTAATTAAGATTGAAAAACAGTTTAACATCTTGACAACTAAAAAATCCCTAGGATAAAATCTAGTTACTTTAAGTTTCCCACGTTATGCCCATTTTTTTTCTCTTTTTTTGTGTTTTTTTGTTATTCAAGAGGTTCTCACGATCACCACCCACAGCAGCACCAGTCAAATCGCGTATGTGAAATATGTGACATTTTTCGTGAACTCCTGACAGAAAATTCGAATGAATTATTATTATTATTCGTCAAGTCCAACAATCACAAATCCATCAACAATAACTTCATCAATTACTGGTTCATCATTCTTGAAAAAAAGGGATAATTCGTTGTCGATGCTTTCGATATCGAATGAATTCGTGATGGTGATTAACCTCCAGTGATTGTCCCCCATTTTCAGCAGATAATCATACTTTCACCGGATTTTAACGACCCAGAAACATCCTCAGGTGAGTCTCCATCTTCCTCGTAACAATCCACTCGTTTTCTCCGATTTTCCAAGATAGGAAACTGTAGGGGATTGAAGGCGAGATGGGGATTGGGTTAGGATTCAATGGACCACGACGCCAAGGTGTTGGGGTGGGGGGTCGTGCTAATTAAGGCAGCAAGAGGGGATAAAGAAACCTTGAGAATAAAAAATTAAGAAAATACACTTTCATAAATCCCTGATATCTCCCGAACAAATGACGCAATTTGAACGAGTCCCATCTCATTCAAAATTCAGAAAAAATACCTGTAAAATGAAAAAATTATTGTTTAGTTTCACTCAGCCAATCCCGAGATTTTCAAGATTGAAAATGATGCATTTTAACCCTTTCGCCTCGAAGATGAAGAAAAATCGACCGCAGAAAATCCTCGATATCTCCTGACCAACCGATGCGAGTTGGATGGGTCATATCTTATTTTAAAAAAAACAGAAAATACCTTTAAAATGAAAGAAAAGTTGTTTAACTTCACTCAGCCAATCCCGAGATATTGAATATTGCAAAAGATTCAGTTTTCTCAACTTCTCGTTCCCCTCCAGTGACTCCACTTTAATTGGAAAGTTCTCCAGAGGAGCATGGGGAGCAGTGGACAGCTGTACAGCCTCTCGTGGGGAGAGTTCGGCAGTTCCCTGACGACTGCCGTTCAATTACTCAGGGGACACGGTGATCTTGTTGACGTGACACTCGCTGCTGGTGGCAGGAGCTTTCCAGCTCACAAAATCGTTCTGTCAGCAGCCAGTCCCTTTCTCCTAGATCTCCTCAAAGTAATTATTCATATAGATTATTTTTCACTGGTAGAGACTGAGGGAGATTTTTATTCTAGAGCACACCATGTCAACATCCGGTTGTTATGCTCGCGGGGATCAGCTCGGATGACTTGGAGTCACTCCTGGAGTTTGTTTATCGGGGGGAAGTCAGTGTCGAGCCCTCGCAATTGCCCTCTTTGCTACAAGCTGCTCACTGTCTCAACATTCATGGACTTACGCCACCTACTGTTTTGACCGAGGTGAGAGAATTTCTTCGTAAAATATAATTGCAGATGATGATTAGAAGTTTATTATTATGAAACTAAAATGGAATTAATATTCCTCGTTTTATTCCACTGAAATAGCCATTGTGCAATTGAAAACAAAAATTAAATACAAAAAGCAATGATAATAGGATTATTTTAAGGATGTCCAAGGACTTCGACTATTTTTTCTCGGAATCGCAAAAAATATTCACAATAAACCAGAAGACAATTTAATGACTGAAAGAATAAGATTTCCGAAAGTTCAAATAATTTCAATTATTTATTTAAACAAAGAATTTTTTTTCTTTAATAATAATTCTGTGCAAAATCTAATTTGAATGAGACTGACTACTCATGTTTTTCTTCTCAAATTTTTCTCACGCAATTGAATTGACAATTTGATAACTGAAAATAGTTCACTCTGCAGTGTGGTCTGTACCAAACTGTAAAAGACACTTGAGCATCCTTAATTTCCAAGAATCTCTCCAACAGAATGGAGAAGCGGTGCCACCCTCAGCAATTCCGGAAGCTTCAGAACCCATAACCCGGGAGACAATGAACTCCTCAATCCCAAATCAGCGTCGTCGAAAGCGAAGGAAATCCTCGTCATCCTGCAGCAAATGGCCGCGCCTGGACAACACAACAGACTCCGAGGAACGACAGGAGGACGACAGAACAACGGACTACGACCAGAAGACCGAGGAGCCAACCCCGGGAGACGAAGGTAACTTCCTCACTCTAAAAATCAGATAAAAATCCCAAAAATTTGTGTTTTGTGTCCTTGTCATCACGAAAATCACCAGAAGAATATGAACTCGATATCAATGGACACAAGCACAACCATCGATCTGGGTTGAACTGCAAAAATCACCAATTTGAAACGAAAATTAAAGCCTCAAAATCACTTGAAGTTTTTTCATTTCATTTTGAATACAAGATTATTCTAACCGAAATTAATAAACAGTTCAGCCCTGCATGGTAACAATGTGTTTGTGTCTGTTAGCAGGTACTGGGGATGATTCCAGTCATCGCTTGCCAGAAAATCAGTCACCACCTCCAGTTAAACTCGAAGATACCCCTCAGGAGTTAGTGGATACGAAGCAACATCTCCAGAATTTATTGCAAGGGATGCAGTTCTCGTCACTGAGTTTTCCCAGTGGTCTGGTGCCACCAGGGCTCATTCCCTCCACCTCAGCTGCTGGGATGAATGCCTCCAAGGCGAGGGGGGCTTCTGATTGTCCAGGACAGTGTGCACTCTGTGGGGCGACTCTCAGACAAGCCAGAAATCTTCGAAGGCATCTCTTGACGTCCTGCAAGTATCGGTTCAACAGTCATCCTGCCGTCCAACATATGCAGGATCAGATGGTCGTCGAGATCAAACCTGATATCGACATGTCTGGGTACATTGGACCCACCTACATGACTGACAGTGGTGGCAGCAACAGCTGTGAACCTATTCTCTTCAGGACGAGTCCCATGCCTTCGCCTGGGGGGAGGGGAGCAGAGGTCGTGGGCAGTCATCAAAATGGACCCTCACCCACTATTGCCAGATGAGAGTGACATTGAGGGCTTCGGGGAGAGGAAGGATGCAATGATTCTTTTTTAGTGACTGTTTTCGGGGAGAAGGGATGAGTCGATTTGAGGATTTGAAATTTTGAGACATTCTTTTGCGGAGAATGCAATTTACATTAGGAAATGTCCTCTGAATTTTCTGCCTAGGTTGACTTGTTATTGAGATAATTCAATTTTCCCAATTTTTTGAAGGAGATTTTTTTTTTAATGAAAGGGACAAAAAATGTTCATTTTCTTTTTTTTTGTAGAATCACTTGTTTTCAAAAGACATTTTTTGACACATAATGTTTCTGGAAATTTTCATACAGAATTATTTATCATCGAGATGTTGTTGATTTCAATAGTTAGTTTTTCAATAATTACGAAATTATCCCTAAAACTAGTGGCTCACCATTGAAATAGTGCCCGAAATTGACTTGTGCTGTCATCTTGATCCCTTTCAATCATTTTTTAAACCAATTTGTAAAGCCTCATCAATCGATATTATTTTATTACGCATAAATATCTGTATCTCAAAGATGCAAATTTAAAAGCCTTCCACTTTACCTTCGAAATTTTCAATCTTAAAATTTTAGAAGAATTCAAAGTCCTTTAAATCTTTATCTATAATTTTTTGGAATTGAAATTTTCCTGTACAAACCACAAAACGAAGAAATAGATTTTCTTTTTCAACTTACAGACTGTTAAAATATCATCTCGTACAAATACGTTAAGTTTTTTTAATAGTTTAATTTTAAGGGATTGATTGGGAGTGAGGCTATAGTTTTTTTTTCTCAATGTATGATTCAATGGAATGTTATCCCGTAATTACTAATGTTAACTGAAAAAAGTGGTACTAATTCGTAAGGATTTTAGAGTAATGAATTTGCCTTTCGTCTTCTATTATTTTAACGCCCAATAATGAAGAATAATTCGAATAGAGTGAAGAAGTATCGTTGTAAGGAGCATAAATATGTGTAAATTTTATGTTATAAGATTTTGTAAATAAAAGAAGAATTCGAGTGAATGAAGAAATTTTATTGATTTGCTGATAATTCAAAATGAATATTAGGCACTGGCTCACATTTTAGATAACCAGTATAAGGTGAAAAACGTCTCGGATCAGCCCACGACGTGCCCCTTGTGTGGAGCGATATTGAGACAGTCCCGGAACCTGAGGAGACACTTGGAGCTGCTCCACTTTGCACCGGGCAACAGTGGAAACGCGGGGATAAGAGTGCGAAGGCGCAAAACAGACTTCCAGTCCCCCACTATGGTCCCAAGACCTACTCTACATAGCTTGAGGATGGAACACGCACAGGCGAGGTCCATTGATACTCTAGATTTTTCTGCTGCGTCGATAACGTCCAGCCTTGCAGGTGAAATTATTTAGAATTTTCTTTTTTGTCATACAATATTTTACTCGAGGGTCAAGATACCGTGACTCGAGGGCCCCATCTATATTTTAATCTAGTTTGTGCTCCAGAGTCACAATTTCACTCCAGATTTTACTTGAGGGTCAAGAATTCACTCCAGATTTTGCTTGAAAGTCAAGATTTCGCGCCAGATTTTGCTTGAGGGTCAAGATTTCACTCCAGATTTTGCTCGAGGGTCAAGACTTCGCTCCAGATTTTATTTGAGGGTCAAAATTTCACTCCAGATTTTACTCAAGGGTCAAGGTTTCACGGCAGATTTTGCTTGAGGGTCAAGAATTCGCGCCAGATTTTGCTTGCGGGTCTAGATTTCGCGCCAGATTTTGCTTGAGAATCAAGATTTCTCTTGGAAATTTGCCCCCAGAGTCAAGATTTCACGCCAGATTTTGCCCACAGATCAAGATTTCACTCGAGACGCTTTATTTTGTCCAAAACGAAACGAGAAAGATTCCCACACATTAATACCATGCAATGTAATTCAGGAAATTTGATATCATCCGGTGGAAATCTCCTAAATTCACCGGACCAGTGTCTCCAATCGTCTGAACCAGCCTCCAGCACCTGCAGCACAACGATCGCCAGCTCTCTGAACAACGGAATTTACCCCACAGACAGCAGTGCAAGCATGCTGAGTTGTCTCCTTCCGAACTTACCTTCCTTATCGTCTTTGTCCTCCTCCCACGATGTCTTCAGGCACAGTGAGATCCTCCGGGCGGGAATAGCTTACCACGACTCCACGAGACAACACGCGAGGCAATTCCAGCGCACAGATGTCACGTAGACCCAGAGAACTCGGGAATAAATCGAAATTCATTGAAAAATTTCATTTAAAAAGCCTCATTTCACGTGACTATTACGTTTAAATATAATGAAAATTCTCATTGCAATAATTATCAAATTATGGAGTTTTTGTAGTAAAATAGGTTTTCATGTGCAATTTAAAATAAAAATAATAAAAATCAAAAAGAGTTATGGAAAACATTAATGAAGAAAAAAATATTCATGGAATTAATTCAAGGGAAATTGATGCCTATTTGAAAAACTTCTTTAGTACTTGGACTTAATTTTATTATAATTTGAAAACAGGAAATGATATCAAGTGGCATAATATCTTTCCAATTCCAGTGGGCTACTTCAATCGCTCACAATTGTCAATTTCATTTAGATATTTTGTATACACTGTTCTTGTTCTGTTTAATTATCATTTATATTCTGCACTGTAGCAAATCTTTCAGCTTGCATCACCTCATTTATTACACAGATTAATGAAAGACAAACGCAGTAAGATAATAAAACAAACGAACAAATGATACAAAAAAAAATTGTTCTCATTTCTTTAGTTATCGTAAACTTTATACACTAATACGTAGACATTATTCAATTAATACGTCAATTCTTCAGATTCTTTTTTTTTTTCGAGTTAAACATTCAATGTCAGGGGTGAAAAATTGACGGACCATTCATCTAACGTTTATTATACACAGATTTTCGTCTCCTCACGAATTTTCAGCATTGCAAATCACAATTTATTTATTTCTCTCTAGTTCTGCTTTTGCATTTTTGCTTCAGTTATCTGATTTTTTAAATTTTATTCTACAAACATACCCTTCATTCGCACATTTATGAGATGATAATGGTGTTTTTTTTCTATCGGGAGCCATTGCACCTTGAAGTTTTTGGATTTTTCATTGGAGGACAAGCGATTTTTCACCTCTAGAGGATAAAAATTTTGGTCTTTACGACAATTTAAACAGAATTGAGGAAGCAGCAGTTTTTTTCGATTTTTCTTTTGTATAAAATTTGCGATTGATGTGAAAAAATGTATTCTGCTCCCCACTCACCCTAAAAATCAATGATGATCTTAAACCTAATGATCTCCGATGATAGAACGCTAGATCGCGCATTTGATTGTCCTATTAGGCGTCTAATGGGTTTTCATTGGATTTCGTTTCATTTAGAATTTCATTTCGTTTCTTCGTTTATCGAAAGATGGGCATTTACAGGTCGAGATGAGGAGGTATTACTCTAGCTAATCGAAATCCATATCAATTAATATGTCTACGAGAGCGGGAGAAATCAACAATTGAGGGGATTAAAATATTTTTCAACTAAACGTTAGATGATAAATTGAATAAAACATGCAAATTGTGTTAAAAATCATTTTTATCGCCTTAAAAAATGAAATTAAAGTCAAATTATCCATTAATCCCCTCAACTGTGAAATGTTTTCAATATTTCACCATCAAAATGTGACTAGCCATCAATAAACAGAATTTTCAAACATTCAATCCAACGATTTCTCGTGCGAAATTCCCTCACAATAGTTTCCTTATCTCCATAAAAAGCGATTCTCTGAAATTTTCCTTAGGGTATTGAGTAATGAATACAGTAATGCAAATAGGTAAGAAGTCCTTTAAGACATACGTAGACACATTTTTTTTTTCAATTTTCGTGTTAAACTTCCTGTACACATACATTTGTTCCCGCCGTATATAATTGAACACACCTAAAAACGTAAAACTGTACACACGAGAGAGTATCTGCCTATTCGCTCAATGAAGTTATTTATTCGTTTTATTTGACCTATTGTGATTTTTACACATCTACGCATACGATATATCGCATGGGTCCATTATATTCTCATTCTACTCTTTCTACCAAATCACTGCCATGTTAAACTCGTCAATTATTACTGATTCCGTATATTTTTTTTACACATCATTTTCATTATCATTTTTTTTTTTTAGTATTTTCCCTCTGTTTTTGATATTTCGTTTCATTGTAAACACGTCTCTTACGTCTAATCGTACTCTTACAGTTAAATATAACTTCACTACATGTATTTCATTTACTTTATTAATTTATCAACTAGAATGAGATGAGTTGTCACATGGGGAGAAATAAAGGATGATTTTCAGCAACTATTTGAGAATTTATCGTTCGTTCTTTCCTCATTTTTTTGTTTTGTTTTTTTAAATTAAACTAGAATTACTTTATGTCAGTCAATTTCGAATGATCGATTATTTCGAAATAGCGGTTATTATGTATCGAATATACCTCTCATCATCTGTTATTCAACGATATGGAGATGACAATTTCAATAAGTATCCCATAATAATCAAATGACAGATGATTTCAATCTCATAAGTCACATTTATTAATCATAATTCAATTGGCCCTTGATGATTCTCCATGATTTTTTTTTCTTATTAAATCGCAACATTTTTTTTCAGTCTTGTCACGCTGTCTTTCGACATCATCTAATTCCCTCAATTGTTCTAAGTTGCGCCGTGCAGTTTTAATTAAAAAACGAAAAACAAATGCATATCGAGACACATAAGTAACACAAAGTCATGCAAATAATTTAAAGACTCGCAGACTTTTTATTTAATGACAAAAACAAAATATTAATTTTAAATTTTACTATGAAGAAGAAAAAATAACCGAGCACTACAATGTTGGCAGGCAGTGACTGTGATAATTTATAATTATTTAATGTAGAAAAATAATTGACAATGATTGCTCAATTAATTTAGAAACAATGAAACTATCAAATCAATTGAATTTCATATGCACGTGATTATTAATTTAATTTCATCTCTATATATTCAACAAATGCGACATTAATCATCAGATGGTTCACCTTCATAACTCCTGTTATTCGATTCAACAACCGCAATTGTTGCGTCAAACACGAGTGACTGAATGACAAAATATAACAATTGTAGAAAGTTAATAGCGGAGATAAATCAAATAATTCATTAATTACGATTAATTGTTAATTCTTATTATCGGAGATCTAAGTAAGACAGTGGTAGTTTAATATCACAATAAGACTACTCAGGCCTTGTGTAACTGGGGCACACACACGTCATCTCTCATCCCCCGAAATATTGTATCTCGATAAAAATGACACGAGTTGATTTTCGTATTATTCATTAACTCAATGATTTTACACCTAACGAAGGGACAACATGATTCAAGTATTCCCTCGTCACTTCACAATTATGATTTTCTGTAGTTGTTTCTCCTAGCAGTCTTAATTAAATCGTCAACGCAATTGCATTATTTATTCAATAAACTTCACTCTCTGGTAGCCCTTTGGTCACTAGAGCTTGGCATTAGGCATTTCACGTCAATCAAGACATTACTTTCAATAATCACTCATTCATAATCTCATTTTGGCCTCGATTAATCCCCTCCAACTATGAGTCCGCCATTTTGTCGAGGTCGTACGCCATTTGGTGGTCATCACGCTCGATGTTATTTCGTGATAATAATTTTTTTTTATTGTCGGACCTCTTGAACATTTGGGATTCACCGTGGTCCCGATACGAACATGATCGTTTATGGATGATAATGACGCGTGCAATCGTGTTTTATCGAAAAAAAAAAGGGGAGGGAAAGGACACGAGTCATGTTTAAAAGTGGCTGACACTGAACTTTGTGACCTCTAGCTCACAGTATGGGGGGCAAAAATGTCCCAGAGTCACCGAGATTTGAATCGAGAAATGCGGCAATATCACCAGTTGACGCGTGCCTTGATATTGCTGGGATTCATTACCTCAATTATTTGACACCTAACGAAGGAACAACATGATTCAAGTATTTCCTCGTTACCTCACAATTATTATTTTCCATAGTTGTTTCACCTAGCAGTCTTAATTAAATCGTCAACTCAATTGCATCATTTATTCAATAAACTTCACTCTCTGATAGCCCTTTGGTCACTAGAGCTTGGCATTAGGCATTTCACATCAATCAAGACATTACTTTCAATAATCACTCACTCATAATCTCATTTTGGCTTCGGTTAATTCCCTCCAACTATGAGACTGCCATTTTGTCGAGGTCGTACGCCATTTGGTGGTTATCGCGCTCGATGTTATTTCGTGGTAATAATGTTTTTTTATTGTCGGACCTCTTGAACATTTGGGGTTCACCGTGGTCCCGATACGAACATGATCGTTTATGGATGATAATGACGCGTTCAATCGTGTTTTATCGAAAAAAAGGGGAGGGAAAGGACATGAGTCATGTTCAAAAGTGGCTGACACTGGACTTTGTGGCCTTAGCTCACAATATGGGAGGCAAAAATGTCCCAGAGTCATCGAGATTTGGATCGAGAGATGCGACAATATCACCGGTTGACGCGTGCCTCGATGCTGCTGGCTGTGTACCAGATGCCAATGCGTGACTACTTGCACTACCATTTAATTTACCTTTAACCACCATTGTGCCATTCTCAGTGCTGTCAATGGCAGTTATCTTTGATACGCATTTACGACCCCGATAGAGACGATAGAGGCTGTATTGTTGCTGGGGATCCTCGAGTGTTGTTGCACGTGGACGTGAAGATGTAACATTAACTGATTGGGTGTGACTCGTTTGATTCGTTGGATCAACTGCTGAGGTTATCATTGACGATACTATTGAGGAGGCCATTGATGAGGCGTGAGAGGAGGACGTGTTCAGCCACTCGTGGCGCATTGCTTCGTCTGGTGTCATTCGTTTTTTAGAGTCCCATCTGGAAGAAATTCAAATTTTATTCATTCAATTTCTTTTTTTTCATTTTACTTCATTTCATTTTATTCTATTTTTTATTTAATTTCATTTTATTTTATTTAACTGCATTGTCATCGACAATTATCGATAATAATTGTGCATTTGTTTTAGAAAAAAAAATGTTACCAAGTGCAAATGAAACTTACTCAAGACATCTGCTAACAAAATCAACAAACAGTGTGTCATTACAACGAAGTGCAATGGCCACATTTTTATTGCCAGGCCTTCGTTTTCTGCCCTTACTGTTGACTATACACCTCGGATTTCCCTTGGAATCTGCAATAAATCAGCAAACAATGTTAACAACTGCTTCACTCCCCACGCAAATCTAACGACAAACACGTGTCAACAATTACCGAAAAATAATCTGCGTCGTGTTGCCAGGGTGATGAGTGACTCTGGTGGTGGTCCAAGTACCTCCATTATGCATGCAAGTTGTTCAATCTCATTTTCACCAGGAAACAGTGGATATCCGGTGTATAATTCAGCCAATATACAACCGAGACTCCACATGTCAATGGGTGTACCATATGGCAAACCAAGAATTACTTCAGGACTTCTGTAAAATCTCGATTGTATGTATGTGTAGACTCGCTGATGACTGTAGCAGGAGGAGCCAAAGTCTATGACTTTAATTGCACTGCTACCACGTTGCTTCAAGAGAATATTCTCCTGCAATTTCAATAAGTAATTTCATCATTTTTTTCCCCCAGCATTTTTCCTCTGTTTTTGATATTTTTTGTTCATTGCAAACACATTTCTTACTCGTAATTCAATTGAGTAAGACAAAGTCATGCAAGTAATTTAAAGGCTCGCAGATTTGTTATTTAATGGGCAAAACGAAATATTAATGAATTCCTGGGGAATTTCAATTTTTTGTTTGAATGAGAGTTAATATTCTATTAATCGAATGAATTTCAAATCGATTGATTTATCAACACAATTGGTTGGTTTTTTCTCATATTCATGAATGTTAAATCTATATGCAATCCTCTTCATTAACATTTAAAATAAGAGAATAAAAATTCTAAATTTCACTGAAAATTAAATTTTGCAGTACAAATTCTAGTTCTTTGATTAAAGATTAATTTATTTATTTATCAATTTAATGTTGAATCTATTTATCAATAAATTTATTCTGAATTTATTCCCCTGTTCATGGATGTGAAATTGATGATAAAATATTAATGAAATTTTGACTGATAATATCGTATTATTTAATGTAGAAAAATCATTGTTCAACTAATCGAGAAGACAAATATGATTAAATCAATGGAATTTCCAGCACTGCTTCAAGTGAATGTTCTCCAGCAAGTGATTAATATATTCTTTTAATTCCTGGGGAATTATGCAGGCATGGGACACGCGTTCAGGTGCATTGCTGCACGCAGATGATGGCCTTTGGTCTCGGCTATTGGACACGCGCATAAATAATATCGAGTAGAGGGGGGTAAAATAATGTGCGTGCAGAGACTAGAAATACACGGGTTTCTACGTTTTCCTTTATTCTCCTGTCAGTTTCAATTGGTTTGGAAATTGTTGTGGGTCTATTTCTGGAGTGACGAGAGTTCATGTGGGGATTTCAACGTGACTTACCGGCTTCAAGTCACAGTGGATTATTTTCTCACGGTGCAACAGTCGGAGACAGTTTATCAGGGAATTCGCCAATCGACGGATCAGACTCAGGCTGAAGCCCTGGTAGTTGTTCTTCTTTATCAGTTCGTAGAGGTTGAAACTGGCGGGGGCAAAAGAGATATCAAGTTAATTACAATGAATTCGTTCATCATATTTCGTTTTGTGATTTTACATTGTTGTAAATGTCGAATTATCTTGACAGGGATTGGTTTTAGACAAAAATATTAAAAAAGATTTTTTGCTAGAAATTTGATTCTCTACAAAAAAGGTCCAATGATATTTTCTTTTAAAATCAATCGTTCTCGAGATAAGTACACAATTGTCAAAAATATTTTCTTTATTTTGACGAGGATGACGTACCTCATGAGTTCAAAACTAATACACAAATGATTTCTGAAGTAGAAGTACTCGAGCATGTGTATAACATTGTGTTGTGAGTCAACTTCCAAATCCTTCTTCCTCAAATGATCTAGAATTCTGACTTCAATGAGTGCCTGATGATGAAATCTCTTCTTGTTTCTGATAATCTTGATGGCAATGTGCTGTCCAGTCTTGTGGTCCAGTGCCCTAATTACCTGACCAAAGCTGCCCTTACCAATTACCTCAAGTATCTCGTATCTATTTCGGTGAATATCGAGAAATTAGTTGATCGTCAATGGAATTTAGTATCGACTGTAGAGAAACGGTAATTAAATTACCTGTAGGAAATGTGATCGTGGGGAATTTTGTGGTAGCTACCGGTGTCATCGTCGTAACCACTGTTCTCAGATCCCTCTTCAGCGTGTATTTTACACACCGACAGTCCCAAGTACCAGATCTCCGAGTATTTTTCAATCTCCGTACGTTCGTACTCGGTTAACCGTGATCCATAGTACTTGGTAGCTTCTTGCGGTGTCATGGGCAATCTACGTCCTGCATCATCAGTGGTTAAACAAACACTTGAGTTTAAATGTGCTAAATGTTGGGAGGAATTAAGGACAATTCATGGTTAAGTAAAGTGAAGTGGTAAACCGAGATGGCTGAAATTAATCGAATTAAATGCTCGATATCTTTTGAATACATGAATCGATTTGGAGGAGTCACATCTTATTTAAAATATCATGAAAAGACCTTGAAGATGAAAAAAAATGGAGAAATTGACTCTGCCAATCTCGAGATATTCGCATTTAAAGACAACTCATTTTGTTTTGTTACCTTTTAACAGTCGATTTTGTTTTGCTTCAGTTTTTTGGGAATATTTTGGAATCGAAGGCAGATAGCGAAATTTTTGTAAGGACCTTTTTTATCGAGGAGGATTAAACTTGCAAAAAAGTTCATAACAAAAATATCGCCATCTCCTCCCGATTCCCAGATATTCCCAAAAAACTGAATTCGTAACTGACATTTCCCATCATTTTCACTTTTATATCGTCGTCGCACGTTGAATTGAGACTAAAAATAGTGTTATTGAAATTCCATGAAAAATTTCCGGTTGAAATATCCACTTGATAATCGTCTCGCCCCAATAGTTTTCGAAAGATTTCCAAAAAAAAAACTTTTCCCCGGTGAAAAAAAGACCTTCACTTTTGAATATTTCAGGATTTACCGGAGCAAAGCGGTCTGTCCTACATATCACACAATCGGAAATTCCTCCATCTCCACTTCGGCATTCACATGAATAATCGAATAAGTGAAATTTGTTCCATTCTCCCGAGTACGAAATATTCATTCTGAAAACTTACCGTAAGCATCCGTATGAACACTTGTGTTGAGTGGATCGTGCAGGGGCATATTGTGAATATTATTCGACGTTGAATTATTAGCATTGTTGTCTGTCCCATCTCGCGACGGTTTATTGCTGCCTAATGACGGTAGCTTCTGCAACAGAAATAAGAGGAACATGTTGTGAGGTATGGAATGCAATTAGCAAATGAAAAAAATGGGGTTTTAAATGCGAATTATTTTCCCGGGTGACATGTAAATAACTCGAGACGACTGGGGCATTTATCTTTAGACCAATGGATTGATAATCGGGGGCTTTTTATAACCACCCAGTGCCGAGGGCGACTTTATGATGGGTCTGGTATCGCCGAGGGCTGCTGATGTGAATTTAAATCCTTTGATATTTTAGCCTTTGAGGTGGTGAGGGGATCTGAGACTGCAAGTGGTGTCATTAAAGAGTCTAAAAGATTATTACAGGTTGATAATTTCTTATCCTCTGGCGACGATAAAAGTTTAGGGATTTTTATCACAGTAGTTTCACTGACATTTCATGGAAAAATCAATGGAAATTGTAGATTTCAGTTCAATTACTCCAGGAAAATTGATAAAAATCAGGAAAATTTGGGTAAATATACTCTTGAATTTTCATAGAATTTTTTTCTGACATTCGGTAATTTTTTTGCGCAATGTAAGGTAGAATAAAAATAATACTCATCAGATTGTTCAATTCCATTAGTTCAAATAAAACAGAATGTGAGAATGTTCATCATTTTTTTCCCCAGCAGTTTTCCTGTTTTTGATATTTTCTTCCATTGCAAACACGTTTCTTACGTCTAATTTTCTTACTCGTAAATCAATTGAGTAACACAAAGTCATGCAAATAATTTAATGACTCGCAGACTTAAAATATTAATGAATTCCTGATGGATTTCGATATTTTAATCTTACTTTGATATTTTAGTCTTTGAGATGTTGAGGGGATCTGAGACTGCAAGTGGTGTCATTAGAGTCTAAAAGATTATTACAGGTTGATAATTTCTTATCTTCTGGCGACGATAAAAGTTTAGGGATTTTTATCACAGTAGTTTCACTGAAATTTCATGGAAAAATCAATGGAAATGGTAAATTTCAGTTTAATTACTCCGTGAAAATTGATAAAAAATCAGGAAAATTAGGGTAAATATACTCTTGAATTTTCACCGAATATTTTCTGTGACATTCGGTCATTTTTTTTCCGCAATGTAGGGCAGAATAAAAATAATACTCATCAGATCGTTCAATTCCATTAGTCCAAATAAAACAGAATGTGAGTTTCGCTAGCTGTCTAAACTAATAGCGAAAAATGTCAGGGGCATAAATGGCCAACGATGCCTGAATTGGGAAACTTTGGCATTTGAGTTGGGTTATCCTCAAGGGAAACTGAGGATCCACGCAAACAATGTGGAACAAATTGCTTCTAGCTAGCGGGGGGGTGTGACTTTTTGAAGAAACTAATAAAAGTTTAAGGCCGAAAGGTCATGACCATCAAAGTTTCAGGCCGGGGATAGTTTAGAGGGGCCAATTGGACATACGATATTCATCAAGTTAACTCATGACAATTACGACAATATTTCACTCAAAAACCCAGCGAATTCTCTGGAAAATTCTACTGAACGTTCTCTTAGATTTTGTTTTCAAATGTTTAATGAAAACTATTCTATAGAGGAAAGAAATTTTGTTTTTGTTCTATATAACTTACTGAAATTTTTTCGGTAGAAATTCATGCGCTCAAAATTATCTAATTCTTTTGGTTTAACAAATTCGGTGAAAGAAATTTAGAAAATTCATGTCGAGGAAATTCAATAGAAAAATTAAATTCTATTAGTTTTCCTATCAACGAGATAACACGAGAAATTGAATACTGGGAGGGTGTATTCAGCAAACAGAGTAATACGACTCAATGAAATTACTAAAAATTTTTCATTTAGTTAAACGAACGATATTCATCAAGTGAACTCATGACAATTACGACAATATTTCACTCCAAAACCCAGCAAATTCTCTGGAAAATTCTACTGAATTTTCTCTGAGATTTTGTCTTCCAACGTTTAATGGAAAATATTCTACAGAAAAAACATAGAATTTCCTTTTTCTATATAACTTATCGAAATTTTGTCTGTAGAAATTCATGAGCTCAAATTATTTTTTTATTTGAAAAATTCTGTAAAAAAAATGAGAAAATTCATGTCGAGGAAATTCAATAGAAAAATTAAATTCTATTGGTTTCCCAATACTTCACTGAAAAACCCAGCGAAAATAATTTAATAGAAAATCTTCTACAAAAAAAAACAGAATTTCATTTTTTATATAGCGTAACGAAATTTTTCCTGTAGAAATTCATGAGCTCAAAGAATTTTTTTTTATTAGAAAAATTGAGTAAAAAAATGAGAAAATTCATGTCGAGGAAATTCAATAGAAAAATCAAATTCTATTGGTTTTCCTATGGAATTTCCATTTAATCAATCATGAATTACGAGATAACACAAGAAATTGAATACTTGAAGGGTGTATTCAGTAGACAGAGTAATGAACTCAACTCAATAAAATTATTATAAATTTTCCATTGAGTTAACCGAACAAGTGGGCTGTTTCATACCGATTATTCCCAACGGCAATGCGGTTTACCTTGTGTCCAGGCGCATCTCTCATGTCCAGAGCCTTTCTAATACCTATAATAGTAGGTGCAGCTGCTACACAAGAGACTGTACCTACGGATACACATCTACATGTTTATGTGAAAATCCACCTACGAGCCGAGTCTCCGTGTAATGAACTGACACGTGGGTGTTGTCGACGCCGACGTGTACGTGTCGATGTTAGGTAAGAACAGGAGCTCGTTAGGAAGAGATAGGGGATTGTTACAAAACATGGATGGCTCATCTTGAGAATTTAAATACCTATTCAACCATTTGAAATCATTTTTCAATTACTTTTGACGTAGTGCGGTGAAATGGACCCCCTTAAATCATCAATATCTCTCGACACAATGACGGGACTTCAACGAGTCAGAGCTCATTTTAAAGGTTAAAAAAATATCTTGAAGATGAAGAAAAATTTTTGGAATTTCACTCAGCCGTTCTCAAATCATCGCTCATTGAAATGGTACATTTTACTTGTCTCTTCTTGAGGTAAAAAAGTTGACTCTCTTAAATCACCTATATCTCCTGATCAAATGGTCCGATTTGGATGAGGTAAATCTCATTTTAAACTCCGGGAAAATACCTTTGAAATGAAAAATTGGGGAGCTTCACTCAGCCGTTCGCTAGTTATTGACGATTGAAATTGATCGATTAAATCATCAAGATGTATTAAATCAATGAATATCAGCGGTGTTACCCTCAACTGAATTCAATGACTCTCAAGTGGAATGTGTCACGTGACACTACATATTCCCACCAATCATTATCAATTTGAAGAAGCATTCCGAGACAGATGCAGAGACATCAACGAATTCACTAGTTGCAAATTGCTCACTCGATAAATACTTCAATACCTCGTCTTACTGGCATTAGATCATCAATTGAATCCGCGTGAAATTCAAGTACATGCGCCTCGTTACCTGGGCTACACTTCCGGAACAGAAATTGCCCCGAGGTTCACTGACTGTGCGAGAGCTCGAGTTTCCACGCGCTGGATAAAACCGGTGATTTATTTCCGTATCGAATTGACTGCGTATCGATATCACTGCTATTTTCTTTTTCTTTTCACGCTTTTTTGTGATTTGGAATGGGGGAATTTATGGGTTTGGTGGGAATGGATTGGCGAAATGTTTTCTTGCACAAGTTTTCTCATTATCGGCGCATTAGATCGTTGAATGGATTTTGTGGCGCATGTTGAAGAAATTTCGCGGAGGAAAATATTTTTTTTATTCGGTTGTTGGCTAGTAATTTTTTTTATGATATGGAGATTTAAGGGTTTGAGAATCAAACAATCATATTTTTACCCGATGATGAGATAAGGACGTGCCACAAAATAACGGAAAAATATTTTCAACAATTGAATGTCTTTGATATTTTTGAATTTATCACCCAGTGGATAGCCATGTGTGAAGGCTCAGAGTGGAAACCCAAGGGGCGTGTGTTCAAATCCAACTTCCGGCGATTTTTCGTATTTTCTCAAATTGATATTACATACATTTCACCTAAAAATGAGAAATAAAATAACTTATTGTGAATTTATCTCGAGAAAGAGTGGTTTTAGAAAAAAATGTCTATACACCTTTTTTGAAGAGAATTAAATTTTCAACAAAAAACCTTTTCTGATATTTTTGACTAAAACCAACCCCTACTACGATAATTCACCATTTACAACAACGCCCACTCTCAAATTCCGCTGTTTCAGCTTCATATCGTAATAAAAAATTGATGAAAAATAATTTTGGGAATTTATCCGCAAAATTCAGATTCTCAAAGGCCAATCACAAATTACTGGCATTGACTTCATGATGATAATTGGCTGACAATAAAGCCTCGATCGGTTTGTTCACGGTTCATCGGTCCATCGAAAATGTGAAATCCTCCGATCGGATATTTTCCGTCAGGTTGTATCCAACTGACTGCAGCGGAATTTTCGTGGATTGCAGAAGCCCCAGTGCCTATTTGTGGGCACGTGCCAGTCGCATCGCTGGATCAGACTAGACACACAGTCGGAACCCAGAGCGATTTGTCGTGGCAATGCTGCACGGACTCCGGCTATACTATCACTGACCCAGTTGTTCTTTGCCTTCAGGTGCAATGATGTGAACCACCGATGCGGATCTGAGGCCTTTATTTGGACTTTTGGGGATTGGGAAATAGTGACGATTTAATGGGAACAGTTTTTGGATGATGAAAGTTATCCCATAGTTTTTATTAAGATTTTACAAGTGATAAAAAAAACTTGGAAAGTTGGATCAATGAATTTTCAAATTGACATTCAAGCCTGACATTTTGGGAGAGTATGAATGCGTAGAAAATTGTATTTGACATTCAAGACCATTTCTTCTTCAGGAGAATGGGCTTTCTCATCTCATCAGTGATAAATCCCCCCGTTTTGCGCGGGATTTCGTTTTTTTTATCGAAAGAGTTTTCAGCAAAAAACAAAGTGAATTGTGTAGCTCTGATAAGATGAAAATAAAT